TTAATCAGGCCAAATTGAACGCTTTAAGGTTTTAAATGTCAAAAAATATTCCTTCGTTTCCAACTGAAACTTTGTATTCAAAATTGAAGGCAAAGGAATCTCGAGTTTCGGGCGTGCATAAATCAAATTTCACCTTTAGGAAGTTTGGCTCAGATCAGACAGTTATACAAATTTAAACTCAGCGAGGCACTGCTTAGAAGTAGGAGTTCAGCTCGGCTAGTGTGTTGGCGAGAGTGTTGGCCACTGCCTCATGAAAATTCCTGGCAAATGCATCTGAAGACCAACATTAGATAGTGGCTATGCTACTGGTAAGTTAAACTTAAAAATTTAAAAGTGCAAATGCATCATATAGTTGACTTTGAACTAAACTTTATAAATATTTCCAATTGAACTACAAGAGAAACAGCTTCAGCTTTGTCATAGTGTTTTACTCTCCAGCCGGGAGAGTGGTTAACACCGCTGACTGCCATACCAAAGGGTCCGGGCTCGAATCTCGGAGAAGATCTGAATGTTTGTAAATGAATATTGTACCTGCGGCATGAGAGCATTGCAAATATACGGGCGAGCCGAAAGTCCTCTGTACAGTTTGCATCTAGTGGAAGATCGGAAGTAGACCGTCCGACAAGTTTCACCGGGGTACTCACGTTCAAAATTAAAAGCCGAAATGGACAAAGTGGTACAGTCAGATGTATGGTCTTAATGATTCTTGCCAAAGACAAGCGCAATCTTGAACCCTTGCCACGATGGATTTCGTGGTCTTGATCTGATTCTGACAAGCGAGATTAGTAACTACAACAACTCTTTTATTACAACAAGTCTTCGTTTTAGATTTGTGTTACATTTTCCATTATAAATAACAATAATGTCTCAATCAACACTTATATGGATTTTTACGAAACTTGCTTTGTGATTACTTTTAAATAGTTGTTAACGGCACTATTTCTTCACTCTGATAAATTTTAAAGAAAAGTCTGTGGTAAAACATTACTAACTTTTAAACAAATGAATGCAGCATATATAGTTTGGACTGTTAAATACTTCGGAAATTTAGAGCTTCAAATTTTTAAAAAAAATCATATTTATTCAAAAAATGCATCCTGACATGGGAAAATTTTCCGTTCGATAATGTCATGGATTTTTAAAATTATATTTACGGTTTGAGCTTATATTTATTATGGAAAAAAATCGTATAACCAATTTGTTACTCATTTGTTTTTCCCTATATTACACTCTAAATTCCAAAGAGTAGTATCCGATCCATAGGAGTGATATCCCACCTTCCCTGTAACAAAGAATCTCTAAGGAAAAGAATGAAAGCTTCCATAGACGCAAAAAACCTGTTCGCTTGCGATAATCGAGGAGCCACGCTATCGTGAAACCAGCGCACATTTCAATAGTGCAGTCCGGAATAATTTTTTTACTTTGAAATTCCTCAAAATGTTTTATTTTCATACATTTCAGATAAATTGTGTAGCTGATCATTTATCTTCTGATCTTTAATCGTCTAGATGTTTCGCATAGAATATCCTAAAATTCAATTGCAAAATAAATGAAAAAAGATGAATAAATAAATACATTTTTTTATTCCTTATTTTCCCCCCTTAACCCTTCTTTCTGTAAACACACATAATTGTTATTCTTTTGATATAATATCTAGCGTTAATTTATAACTAACATTAGAATTAATAGAAAACAAATTAACTACTGCCGTGATGTTAGATTTCTAACAAATCTGCAATTAATTACATAATAACTCTAATTTTTTAAAAAATAAATAAAAATTATTAAAAAATTAAATAAAAAATATTAAAATAAAAATATTAAAATAGAAAATTAATAATATAAATATTAAAATTAACTACATAAAATGTCAATATTTTCATATTTTTTATGAAAATGTAAATCTTTTCATATCAAGCATATTATTAAACATTAAAACAAAGAATAACACATTTGTGGTAAAAAATGAATTTTATTGACATTTCTCAAGTTTCAGAATATACATATGCAATATAATTTTAAGCATCTTCACAAATACCAAGAAATGTTTTAGACAATTATTTGGAATGACAATTATGAAAACAATGAGCAAATTTTGCAGCCAAGAACCAAAAGCATTTCACTTAAATTAACAAATACAGTCAAAAGTCGTTAATCCCGACTCGTCGGGACTTCGGAGATTCCGGATTATCGATTTTTCCAGATTATAGATCATCAGTTTAAATCTCGTAATATGGCATGCAAAAATTCTAAAATTAAAAATATGAAACCGTAATTTATGAAATAAAGAACAATTATGATCTAAAGCAGTGCCCCGCAACCTTTTCTCACCTGCGACGCACAAAAAATCTTTCTGGAATTTCGTGGCACACCAAAGAGTTCCGAGTTATCAAGGAAGTGCCGAAAAAATTCAAATGCTGACACACTTACAATCACACACACAACCACACAACAGTGAAATATATAAAAACATTTAAAATAGACATTATTAAGAAAAAAAAATTGTCATTGTGTATTAAATACATCACAAAAATTGCCAAAATGTCAAATTCATGTATTTGATTGCGGCACACCTATATCCTACTCATGGCACACCAGTGTGCCGCGGCACACCGGTTGCGGAGCACTGACCTAAAGGGTATCAAAATTTACAAAAATAAAGCTTAATATTTATTTGTTTACTTTATTAAACATTTCTTTCAATGTAAGTTGTTTAAGTTGCTTCGTTTTATGTGATAATACTTTCTCTTTAATTCTATAAACAGACATAATTTCTTGTTCAGTTACAAAGTTCCGCTGTTCAAGTCCCGGAACTGCTGTGCCGAGAATACCGACTAACTTGTCAATCGAAATTTTTTCGTTTTCACTAACCTATCTGTCACCTTCTTCATGTCTTTTTATCCATTTTTTCAGCAATTCCACTTTTTGTTTGATGGACATCGAAACATACTTTCGTTTTGTAGATCCTTTGGGAGCTCTAGCATCGGAAATTCTATTTGACATAATCGAAAGTTCAAGTTTACTTTTATAAAATTGCTCTTACAGTCTGCAAAAAATAATAAGCCGCATCCAATTCGAAGATTAATTAACAACGCAATCATCAACATTAACTGAAATAGACAATTAGATAATTTTAGCTTATGCCTTCCGTTATACATTAAACGCGCACGCGAAAACGTATTCTGCACTTGCGCACACGCATATGCGCAGTCGTAAAGGTCTTACGCGCACGCGTAAACGCCTATGCGTATGTGTCAACGCGGCGCATGCGCAGAAAGTTTTTAGCTTTGAGGTCCGGATTATAGGTGTCCGAATTAACGACTTTTGATTGTACAAAATTACACTTAAAAGGCCTTTTAAAGAATTTCACATAAATTATTAAAGTAAGTGATTTTATTAATTTTTCATAAAATATTCAATACTTCTTACATTTATTAATATAAGATTAAATACTGAACTTGAAAATCAAACCTTCCAGGTTATTATTAAACCTGGGAAGAAATTTTATAAATAATCCACTGAATCAAATAAATATTGTTGCAGCTCATCCTGATGAAGATTATTTCAAATTATGAAATTAGAAATTGATTTTTTTAAATAGCAATTACAAAAATGACTATTTTCCATCTTCACTATACATATAATAATTCTAAAAATGCTGTAGCTTGGATTTTACATAATTTTAATTTTGCAAAAATCTATTTAATCCCGAATTATTCGACCAATGAGTACATTTAATTCTGTAAGCTTAAAAAAGAAAAAACACATACCATACAATTCATAATAAATTTTTATAACTCCATATTTAAAATTTTATGAGCAAAATTTGCATAATAACTAACTGAAACAAAAAAATAATTAAAAACAATTACAAGTATCCCTAAATAAATTGAAAAAAACTGAATTCATTATAATTCATAATGACCTCAACTTTAAAAAAAAAAAACCTACTTTAAAAAAAACTGACCTCAACTTTAAAAAAAACCTCAAAAAAAAAAAAAAAAATTACCAAGAAATTTTAATTATTTGGAATGACCATTATGAAAACAAGAGTCAAAAGCATTTCACTTAAATTAAAAATACAAGATTACATTTAAAATGTCTTATAAAAAGTTGCACAAAAATTAATAAAATAACTAATTTCATTCTTTTGGTTCATAAAATATTCAATACTTCTCACATTTATTAATATAAGATTAAATACTTAACTTGAAAATCAAACCTATAGGTATTAAGAAGTTTTGTAAATAATCCACTGAATCAAATAAATATTGTTGCAGATCATCCTGATGAAGATTATTTCAAATTATGAAATTAGAACTTAATTCTTTTAAGTAGCAATTACAAAAAATGCCTACTTTCTACCTTTACTATACATCTATACACTATACATCTATCACTATACTATATAATAATTCTAAAAATGCTGTATGCTTGGGCTTGGATTTTACATAATTTTAATTTTGCCAAAAATCCATTTAATAAAGAATTATTCGACCAATGAGTACATTTAATTCTGTAAGCTTAAAAAAGAAGAAAACACATACCATGCAGCACATAATGAATTTTTATGAATCCATATTTAAAATTTTACAAGCAAAATTTGCATATAACAAACTGAAACAGAAAACAAAATTAAAGAACAATTAAAAGCACCTCTAAATAAATTGAAAACACTGAAATACATTATCAATATCTGACCACAATTAAAAAAATTAACATAAAAATCAATACATAATAATAAATATAACCCAAAAGTAATTACTATACATAAAAAATATAAAAGAAATTTTTTCAAATTTAAAACAATCTGTGAGATCTTTTCCGAAACTTAAAATTTTTAGTAACAGTCAATATTTCGACTAATAACCGTCAATTTTGTTGCACAGCATTCTTTGAGCATAACATGACAGGCGATCCAACCATCAATTTTTGTTGCACAGTATTCTTTGAGCATAACATGACAGGTGAGATGACCACTATTATTGATGAGTTATTTCTTAGATGGCGCTATTGTTAAGCATATTGAAATAATAACAGTAAACACTGTAGATACCTGTTTGTTCAAATTTTGTTGGCACTGCACAGGAATGTAAATATCGCATCTTTGGTGAACAGTAATCGTGATCTTTGAAGTGTGACGAACATATTTGTGCAGTTTTATACAAATCAGTAGGTGATTTATTTAACAAGTCTTGATTACTGCATGCGGCAGCCCATTGTTTTGATCTATAAAAATGAAAAACATTAATTTTATATTTTAAATTTCAATAAATCCATTTTCAGTGTTAGTAGAAAAATAGCAAACTAAAAACATTCCTTATACATTAGTTACACAATCTCGAGAAGGGTTATATATTTTTTAAGAACAAACATTAAATTATAATTTAAGGAAAAATTCATGTACATAATATGATTTATTACATTTCTGACATATTTATACTAATTCTCTATTATTTTGATCTATGAAAACAAAAAACAATTTTATTTTCTTTAATTAAAAGAACCTCTTTTCAGTGTTATTAGAAATTTAACCTTGTTAAAAAATTCCTTTTACATTAGTAACAAATTCTGAAACGATTGCATTTCATCTAATTTTATTTTGATGTACGAAAACCAATAATTTTGCAGATATTGTGTTAAATTGTAGTTACCGGTCATAGTATCTAGTTAAACAATTTAGCATTTCTTTGTACAGTTTTGTTAACAATATGATTAAAAAAGGATAAGGCACCAATAAAAAGTACACATTGTTCGTAAAGTGCATCTTTAAAATGTTTCCTTCCTTATTCACACTAATATGTAGTGGTTCCCTAAAGTGTTCGTACACTTATGTTTCAGTGAAATAGTGCTGTGAGAATTTTTTAATATCTATAAATTTATCTTAGCAAAACTCTATAAAAGTATTATAAGAATACAGTAAAACTTTTTGGGGGGGAATTAATAATTAAAAAGTAACAAAAAGTTACCTCACAAAAATCTTCGTGCACTTTAAAGAAATCTGCAGACACTATTACGAAATATTGCAGTTAAATTTCTGTCAGTTTTTGTAGGATATCCTGCAGCATTCAAGCTTGTAATACATAAATTACAAAAATTATCTTCTAAAATATTAGAAGAAAAAAATTTTAAAAAATTTGGTTTTTTTTTCAAAATCACTTCGAGATATGAGAAAATATTGGGCTTTATAATCAAATTCAATTCCGGGCTACAGCGCATTTTTTACAAATTCTTAAAGTGTATGAACACTTTTGGGAGCAACTGTATCACAAGCACAGTTATCTTGGATATTTACAGAAGAACACTGAACTATTTGTCTATGATGAGGAACACTTAATGGAAAAAAACAAGCTATTTATTTAAATTATTCCAAATACATGAAATATTTGCTTCTCTATCAAAAATTGAGATATATATATATTATTAATAATCAAAGCTTAGTTTCTTTTAAACTTAGAAATGATTTACCTAATAGGATCCTTAGGAAATCTGAAGAATTTCCTGTCTGGTGTTTTTCGAGACGTTGTCCCACAAACACAACAGCGATACCAGGATTTGGGTTGTTTGCTAAGTAAAAGATAGATTGAGTTAGTCTGTTATTCACCACACCACATCTTAGTCTGTTATTCATTCACACACACATCTAAGTATTGAGACATTCACCACACCACATCAATATTGAGAGAAATCAAAATTATATTTTTATAATAATGAATATAAAATTTTCAAAAATAATCATAAAATACGAAAAATTGTATATAACTATCAATATACTAAATTAAAAATAATCTTCAGTGGCCACTAATATTAAATAAGTTTATAAATTTTATCAGATAAACTATTTGGTAATCTATAGCATAAATTTAAAGCTGAAGCATAATACAATTTATTAATAAAATTAATTTATGCAATCATACATGCCATTAGCTGACGCATTATTATAAATGGCAAATTTATTCCTGATCGCTCGTTTTGTCGTAATATTATTATTAATTGACTTTAAAGCTTAAAACTCATTTAAAAAAATTTGGAAAAAAAATACCAATATGCCTGCAAAAACTATAGAATTTATTTGCTATATGATTAATTATATAAATTGAGATTCATATGCTAAAATGCAAAGTTAATATATTAAGAATGAAAATCTAGCTGCTGTGTTATACAATGAGACAAAATATTTTTGGAGCTTGGGAATCAAAATTAATGTACTATACAAAATCAATTTTTAAAATCTATGATAGGTTTTCGAATTAAAAAAGCAAGCTTACCTCACAGAAAGAGAATCGGGTGAATTCTGGTGATCATCCATCTTATGATCTGCTTAAATAACTAGAGAAAAGAACTGAAAGAAACTTTCAAAGAACCTCATCTCTAAGGAGATTCTTTGGCTTTGCTTCGAACAACGCGGTAAAAGATTGCTAATATGGCTGACGACATGCCGGTTTCTTGCCTGCTATTTCGCACATGCGCAGAAAGGTACGGAGGGTGGATGGATTGCCCCTTTAAAATAAGCTTCAGGGACATACACAGTGTCTCTTCAGTCTGACGGAGCCACATTTGCCTCGGAAAACCTTTACTTCTTCTCCTTAGAGATTCTTGGGTTCAACCCAATGTGCGGTCTGCCATTACGCATACGGAAGACAGAAACATTCAGCTGTATTCGTTCATCAGAGAAAACTTTTCATATCTTTCACTATACAGTAATACAAAAACAGTATAAAATTTCTTTTCTTAATATCCAACCGAAGAGCTGAGGGGACGTACAATGATTAACATACAATGGGTGCCTGGAATTATTTTGCTTTACAAGCAGTTTCCTTATGCATATAAAACAAACTTTCACCCATTCCAGGATTTCAAGAACACAAAGAGAGAGAGGGACAGAAATATCTATAACAAATTTTATTGCAGTCTGACTGATTGCTTCGGGAACAATAAGCCTTCCAACTCAAGCTTCTAGCTATTCTAGTACGAATGCTTCTCAGAAGCCATTTGGACCGCATCTGCTTTGTTAATAAAGAAAACTTTTGGGGGTGAAATCATCCCACTTCATCGGGTTTTTCAAACAAAGCATTCAGTGGTCCTGTTACTACTACTGCTGACCTAGAGAAATTTCCCAGAAACTTTTGTTCGAAAAAAAACGAGTTTTCATATACTTTTAAAAATTTCCAGTCTGACAGCAAGATTTTGGTATTTTTCATATGTAGATGAAAAAGAAACTATTTTGATTTTAATAAAGAAGAAAAAATTAATAAGCTTATTTAAATTGTTTTACACAGCACCGAGTAAGGAGACGAAATTTAATTTTCTTTATAAATATTTTTCTCAGACAATTCTTTATGTGTAGTGTTTTTCAAGTTACGATAATAGCGCGTTAGTGCATGCATTTTGAAATCAGATTTATTTAATTAATATATATGGATATCCTGAACAAGCACACTTTCGCACATATAAACTGTATATTATTACATACATAAAAATAAAATAAAATTTGAAAATAAAGCAATTTAAGAACTACTGTATTAAAAAATGATTAAAAATTTGTTTTAATTTGTTTTGTTTTAAATTTGTTTTTTTTTTCGTTATATTCATTTACTTCAGTTATATGCATTCATTTAATTTTATTTTGTTGTATGCATCGGTTAGTCTTTTTGAAAAATTTTTAGTTTATTTGCGTATGGCATAGGAAATGAGATATCTCAGCTGAAAGGAAATGTATGTCTCCATGGACGATTTTCTATGTAAAACGTACTCATGTTCATGTTACACATAGGGAAAATCACAAAACCCAACCATGCAACCAGTTCGTTTGTTTGGGTTCGAATATGAATCGAACTAGCGGTAATCAGGTTTGGTTTGGTTTATTAGATTACGGGAAAGCGCTCGAGGGCTATGTGCCTTAAGGAAGGGATGCCTTCGTGGAGGACCTTTTAAGGGAAACTGGCTCGTATACACATTACACTTGGGGGAAAACCACGAAAACACCTATTGCAGCCAGCTCGTTCGCGGGATTCGAACCTCAGACCGAACTACCAGTGTTCAGCGACGTTACCGCTCGGCCGCTGGTGCGCCTAGCTAGCGGTAATCAGAAATCTTAGCCAGGAGGCCATTGATTGGGTTTGACAGATTTGGAAACCTAATAAATAGTATTTAATAAATATAATATTATTAAACGAATCGGATTTATATAAACAAAAAATTCTTATATCGAACACGACCAAATCTCGATATAACTTACACTGATAAACTGATGTGTAATAACACTGATAAATTCAAATACTAAACGGAATATACATTAATTCTACATGGATAAATTTTTGAAATATATTTCGCTGGGAATGTCTGGCCGCAAAATCCTGATTATATATGATTATATATACCCTTATTTTAAGGTTATCACATATCTGATGGTTTGACATTTACCTCAAAAAACAAAGAATTCACAAACGTCAATAAAATTAATAACTTTATTTCCCTGTTGAAAAGTCTCTGGATCTTTTAAATTATAAAAGAACACCCGCCAAGCAGTTTTCGTTAAATAAATATATGCAGCAACGAGAAGATGCGCTTTTGACAGCAACTCGTTTCAACAATGGGAATTTTTTTAAACGTAAAACATTTGTCGCTTAAATTAATTTTTTATTAAACAAAAAACAAAATAGAATTGCATATTATTAAAAATATTTTATTGATAATTCAGATTCTGAAAACAAGAACATTGTTATAAAAAACAAAGAAAAAATAAACAACATATTTCATTCAACGGGGGCCAACTTTGGTGCATGCACTTTTCAACAGAAAAATATTTGAAGCATGTTATGGATAATGGTTTAATTGATTATGGCAAGGTACTCGAGGGTTATTTACCTAAGGTGAAGGATGCCTTCGTTGGAGAACTGCCTAACGAAAATTCTCTTGAATACATGTTACACATATGGAAATCTAAGAAAACATCCTCGCAGCCAGCCCGTTTGCCGGGATTCGAACCACAGATAGAATCACCAGTTATTCCGTTTGACTCCGCTCAGCCGCTGGTGGACTGTCCGATAAAGAAAAAGCTCAAAATTGCATATTAGAGGGAAAATGGTAGCGTAGTATAATATGAAGTTATTGCCATTTCAATAATGTGAAGCGATTTCAAGAATGTTTAATTATTTTATTTAGCCTATGGCAAACTATACGAGAGCTATCTCTTAACATACTGGTAGTTTGACCTGCATTCAAACGTACGTGAACAGGGTGATTGTATGGGCGTTTTTATGGTTTTAACTCTATGTAGATTGTTTTGTATGAAGATTGTTTCCTTTAGAAAAACCTGTCACGAAAGCATACCTTCCTTTAGGCAGATCGCCTTCGCGAACTTAATAATCTAACAAGCTAAACCAAACACAACCCGAGCGAGGACTCGTAGTCAAGGCAAACCATCATGAAAAGCAAACTGAAATTGGCTCATATTCACATTAACTCTCCGAGTGTTACGGGTTTAGCCCTGGAATTTCAAAGTTCCTCAAAATGTCATGAATAAGTGGTATTTTCTTGATTTTAATTAAAAAATGACTCTCTCATTTTGTACCTTGATTCCTTTTCTTTCAATATACATCCAAACCGAAATCAGATACATTAAAAACTAGCAGAAATTTTCATTTATAATGAATATAGAAGGCAGCCTTCTAGGCTGAATTTTCCGGCCGTAAAGCTGAGAGGGTTTTAAAATTTACAATTTGGATGTTTCTCTCCATTTATACTAAGACTTCATTTATACTCTGCGTGAGTATATACTGAGCATAGGACTCGAATTTCTCTGTGTTTAGAAATTTGTGATGGTTGTTTGTGTAATAGTTGGGCGGAAGCGATTTACCATTCAAAATGAGTAAATCGCCACCTGTGCTACTGCAGTAACCCGGACGCTACTAGAGTTTATGAAGGGATATTTACAAAAATGAGGATACATTGTGCTGCAATAATTAACTGCATTATTTATAAAAGAATTATTATTAAAGTTTTGACAAAGAGTATTGTGACAAATATTAAGGTTTCCTTTTCATTATAGTTATGTTAACTTGTTGTATTATAAACAAAAATAATGCATTTTGAGTTATTAGTAAATTGTTGTGTTAAAATTTCGTGTACTAAACCAAAGTAATATATTTGAAGTTATTTAAATTATTTTGTAATACTGTAAAGATTGTTAGAGAGGCCAATGAATCTGTCTTGTCAGAAGACGATATTTCAAAATTTTATTCTTTAAAAAATAATTAAATCATTTTAGGTTTGAGAACATAATTTCTTCAGCCGATTAGGGAAGACCGATGATACTTCGGTTAGAGGATCGGCAAATCCAGTTTCTTGTTGTAATAATCCGGAGGGTCAGTTGGATGGCACTCGCTAGGAAATCATTCAAATATCCCATATTATTGCATGCATAGACCAAAGCCAGTTCACAAATAAGGTTACGCTCTTTCCAAAGCTATTCTTCAACGATATCATTGACATTTGGAAACGGGTGAAACGAAGACCCACTGAAATTAGAGAATACTTTTTTTTGAACATAATATGAGGGATGGACATCAGAACAACCCTTGTAGTTTTTGCAGGTTTCAATGAACATTTTCATTCGCAGCAGTGTGTTTAACCAGAACGTAACAGTGATGTGTACCGGGAACCTCAAATTCTCTCACCATCTTAATCTGATAGCGTTGTCCTTTCCATGTAAATTAATAGATTCGACACCACGCCACTAGCTTCGATTAAACTAGGCAACAGATGAGACCGGCAGAGGTAATCAACAACCGATTTTTACATCGATAGAATTACAATAATTATCACACATTGATATATTACCCACGTCTTGTAAAAATGAATTCAATATTTAATTCAAGAAAATCAAAAAATTAATTTGTTCTTAAGAATGTCCGAAAAAATTTTCTCACATTAGAATACTGTGTGTCACAAACAGCTAAAACACAACAAGGAAATCATGCACGATATTTTCGCCGATTTCTTATGATTTAAAAGAGTATAACGTAATCACTGGATGGCCATTACGTTTCACATGATAAACATTTCTAGCATGGAAAGACAGCTCGAAGCTTCTCCAAAAGGAGAACTAATAATTATTCAAATTTTATGGACACAGCGGTAAATATGTAAATTTTGCACAAATATGGAAAAAATAGAATGTCTCATATTATAATAACTTAGCATTGTAGTATAATGGTAGGGAAAAAATCGCTTTACTAATGTAGGCTTATATCATGTCATATTTATTATAGAAGCATTACGTAATATTCATTTCTAAAATTGGTCGCT